ATTAGAAGTCTCTCTATTGAATACTCAATCAGATGCTCAAAGGAAAAGAAGAAAAAAGAGAAAGATATTGAAACTAGAATATCAAAGTTGGAAGATGAAGTTAATGAAAATGTAAATGATGAAGTATTAGAGGAACTAGAAAAGGTTAAAAAAAGAGTTAGAAAATACAAGAAAACAGAAAATAGATGGTATAATTCTCAGATCCCGGGCAAAATGGTATGAAATGGGGGAAAAAAGTACAGAATATTTTTGTAGATTAGAAAAAAGAAAATATGTGAATAAAACTATAATAGAATTGATAACAAATAACGATAATCTTATAACAGATAATAAACAAATTATGGAAGAAGAAAAATTATACTATAAAAACCTCTTCACATCTAAAGAAAATTGTAATATAAATTCTTCAATGTTTAATCATGGTGTAACATTAACAGAGACAGATAAAAATAGTTGTGAAGGTAAAATTACGGTACAAGAATGTAGTAAGGCTCTAATAAATATGAAGAACGGGAAAAGTCCAGGATCTGATGGGCTAACAGCTGAATTTTATAAAATGTTTTGGAAAGACCTACAATACTTTGTTCGAAACTCAATAAATTTTGCATATAAACATGGGACTTTATCAGATTTTCAATGCCAAAGTATAATTACATGTATTCCCAAAGAATCAAAAGACAGACGTTATCTTAAAAACTGGAGGCCTCTAACATTGCTTAATATTGATTATAAAATTGCTTCTGCTTCAATTGCAAATAGAATAAAACAGGTGCTTCCAAACATAATTAGCAATACACAAAAAGGTTTTATGAAAGGAAGGTTTATTGGGGAAAATACGCGATTAGTTTTTGACTTGATGCATTACTTAGAGGAAAATAACAGGTCTGGGATATTATTATTAGTAGATTTCGAGAAAGCATTTGACTCAGTTGAATGGAAATTTATATATAGAGCATTGCAGTCTTTTAATTTTGGTGAGTCTCTTATTCAATGGATCAAAACATTTTATCATAATACTAAAAGTAGGATGATTAATAATGGGCATTTTTCAGATTTTTTTAATATACAGAGGGGTTGTCGTCAAGGTGACCCTGTTTCACCATACTTGTTTATAATTGGAGTCGAAATATTAGGTTTAGCTCTCAAGAAAAACAATGGAATCAAGGGTATAAAAATAGAAGACAAAAAATATTTACTAGGGCAATATGCGGATGATGCTTTTCTGTTTCTGGATGGTTCTGAAAACTCACTTTCAAATACAATTAAAACCTTTCAATATTTCACCTTGGTGTCTGGCCTTAGACTTAATATACACAAATGTAAGGTAATGTGGATTGGAAGGAATAAATATTCAGATAGGATCTTATGCCCCGAGCTTAACCTTCAATGGTCAACTGACAAATTTAAACTTTTGGGAATAAACTTTTCATTAGAATTGTCTGAAATTATTGAAATCAATTTTAAGGATAAGCTAACTAACATTAAAAAACTATTAGGTATGTGGTCGAGACGTAAACTTTCTCTTATTGGAAAAATCACAATAGTCAAAACACTTGCATTACCCATATTAACACATTTATTTTACTCTTTACCAAACCCAGGAAAAAAATGGCTTCAAGAATTTAATTCTGTTTTTTATAAATTTATATGGGGGTACAAACCTGATAGGATTAAAAGAAACACTTTGATACTTGATTATGATGAAGGTGGCTTGAAAATGATACACATAGAAAGCTTTATTAAATACTTAAAGGTAAAATGGTTAAAAAGATTATACACAGGTGATGGCCAATGGCAAATTTTGACTAAAACCTTACTTAATAAATTTGGTAACGAGAGAATTTGGAATTTTAACAATGTTACTTTAAACGAAATAAGTAAAAAAATATCATCCTTTTTGGAAAGATACACTTTTAGCATGGATAGATTTTAAAAAATCCCAAGATAAACCTATAGACTTATTACATGAAGATATATTAAACTATGTTCCATTTCAAGATTTCAAACAATTTATAGCATTCCAACAATCTGGGGTTGAAAAGATTAACAACCTGTTAGATAATAGATTTTATTTTCTAAATTTTGAAAATATTAAAGTTAAATGTCCTACTATGAACTTTATTCAATACTTTGCTCTGACAAGTAAAATTTCCAAAAATAAATTACATGAGTTACGACAAGATAGAGATATAATTACTCCTAATGATGAAGCAAATTTATCTGATTTTCAGAAAATAATGGTTCAAAATGACTTGAAATTTGTATATAAATCCTTACTGAACAAACTTAAAATAGATCCTGTAGGAAAACAAGCCAAATGGAATAGAGATTTAAATGTGAACATAGAAACTAAGATAGGTTGGAGTAAAATATATACATTACCAAAGTACTGTACAATAGAAACAAAAATGCAAAATTTTCAATTTAAACTACTACACAGAATTTTGACTACTAAGGAGTTTTTATATAAAATCAAAATTACTGGTGATGATAAATGTACATTTTGTAAAAATGAAACTGAAACACTAATACATTTGTTTTTCAATTGTGTAATTGTTAAAAGAATTTGGAATGAATTTAAGGTATGGATAAATTCAGTAACTGATAATATAATTTTGAAATTGATTTTTTCGATGCTTATGACATACTCTTCATTTGTGAAAAGGGCCCAAAAGTTATAAATCATCTGATCCTAACCATGAAATATTACATTTATATCTGCCGATACAAAGAAATTCAACCAACATTTATCAACAAAATGAAACTGAAAAATTTATTTCAAAAAATAATTCATTTGAAAAATATCAAGCAAAATGATCTCCCCTGAACATTTAAAGGGACAAAACTACATCCTACACAGCATAGTGACAGCCTTACTTTCTCAATCAGGTAGTGATTTATATATATATATATGTTATCGTATTAATGTCAAGATTATTGGTATATCAATGTTAAAAATTGTTTTGTATTGTTACTGTATATGTAAAGTATGTCCATGTTTTGTATGTATTGTATATGTCATTGTCTTTTGCTAATAAAAGTTTTGAAAAAAAAGGAGGAAGGAAGTGAAATAAGACAAATGGTGAAAAGGAGGATAAGAAAGAGATGTCCCGATTATAATGGTTGTCTACTAAGTGGTTTCAAATAACTTTGTAGATTTTATGAAAAACAAAACAACAATAATAATATTAACATTTGTTTAATACGAAAGATCAACATTTCCTCAAAGAAGTGTACCAAGATCAGGTATAAGCTGATGATCAATATTTGGGAGGGAATGTAATAGTTCTGTTCTGATATTTGAAAATTGAGAACGGTCAAAAAGGTAGTGGTATGTATCTTCATTTCCATCACCATAATGACAGGCCGGTGTTAAACAACTACCTACACGGAATAAATCATTTTCAGACTACTGCAGTTATGCCTTATTCTCGCTAAATGAACTGAAAAGTATCGACATTTAAATATAGTGCTAAGATGCGTGACTCAGGCAGTACATAATCAAGCTATAACCAGATAGTATCTAACATCCTATCTCGTTACGTCTGTTGTTGATTATAACACAATTTAGTTAGATTCACGTTTTTTATTCAAATTTTTGATAGGAATGAAAAAGAAGTTGAAACATATGAAAAGGATAATAATTCGTAAACTACATCTCAATTAGCTAAATATGATTAATTGATAAAGATGCTAGGAATAACTAACTTTTAGATAAGGAAAACAGATAAATATATAAATAAATAAATACGCGATGTAGCACAACTGCACGTGTACTTAAGTTGCTTATGATTTTATTACATATATGTATTTGATTCCAAACCTGTGCAATGAACCATGAAGGTCTATATTAAGCCGTGATCAGTGTTGTCTGAAGAAACTAATGAACATGCTATTGAGGATGACCAGTGGTCAGCGTTTCGTGTTGGCTACGATATTAAAGCATCATTCCGGTAGTAGTTGATTAAAATCTACTTATCTATCACAACTATGAATTGAACCATTGGACCATGACATTATAATTGTTGTTGTCAGTAGAGGTAAAAAACATCGCTGACAATATCTCTGTGTTGTATCCATAGTTTGGACTGTTGTGCAAGGTAAATAATGCACTAAGGACAACCATCAACGTGATCCTTTAAGATGTACCTGGAACCTGCATACTGTCTTTACCAGTGAAATATATGTACGATAAAATTTACATATATATAACTAATGCAGCGAAAACTCCCTATTCATAAGATTAATCATTCATGTCTATATAAATACGAATAAGTAAGAAAGCTTAATTTTTTATCTGCTTTTATTTTCATAAATTTGAATTTTCTGTCGTTTCAATGCTGAAATATGTTTTTAATCGTTTTTACTGATATTCAAAAATAAAAGATCAAAAAAGATTTTCTGTGTTGTTTATTTTTGCTAATGTGCTCTATCAACGTCTGGTTTGGACCGTTGTTACAGCTTGCCAGTGGTCATATTTAATGGTCCTATAGGCCTTTTGATTATTCAGAAGTGTTTTTGCAGATTTCAATATAACACATTTGACTCCGTTGTCAAGGTAGTTTGTTTGAATAACTCGAAACGAAGGCTTTTTCCCCAGTATGCTACTACTGATATTGTTAGAAGATTTCTTTCATCTCATTTGTACCCTTGTAAGTATTCCCGTAAAGTTATTCTCATCAAAGCATGTTTCTAGTGTGTCTTAAATTACCATCGTAGTATTATAGTACGGCTTGCAGATATCTGACGCCACAAGTCAACAAGAAAAGGCTAGGACGTCATAAATTATCAACAAACAAAAAACGATGACGTAAACATCATTAAACATTACTGACGTAATCAGAGGGAAAAATATGGATTGATTATCATTAAGCAAAGAGAGTAATTACCAACAGGTAAAATAATTTAATTTTCAACAGGAAAAATTATTTTAAAAAATCGTAATATCAACAGACAATGAGGTAATTATCAAACGGTTAAGGCATGTGATGAAAATGATTTCAGGCGTGACGCCAAACGACGGGAAGTGTCACATTGTACACAAAATAATCTAAAATGTACATCATCCGGGGTTCTATGTAATGGAAGGATATCACTGTTTGACTGCAACCCTGAAAATGAATAATACTTGTAAATCATGTACATGTACGATATTTAATATAGCGTGATTACAAAAATTAAAAGTGTAGGTACGAGAACCATATACGATATTACTTATAGCGTGATTACAAAAATTGAAAGTGTAGGTACGAGAACCATATACGATATTACTTATAGAGTGATTACAAAAATTGAAAGTGTAGGTACGAGAACCATATACGATATTACTTATAGCGTGATTACAAAAATTGAAAGTGTAGGTACGAGAACCATATACGATATTACTTATAGAGTGATTACAAAAATTGAAAGTGTAGGTACGAGAACCATATACGATATTACTTATAGCGTGATTACAAAAATTGAAAGTGTAGGTACGAGAACCATATACGATATTACTTATAGCGTGATTACAAAAATTGAAAGTGTAGGTAGAACCATATACGATATTACTTATAGAGTGATTACAAAAATTGAAAGTGTAGGTACGAGAACCATATACGATATTACTTATAGCGTGATTACAAAAATTGAAAGTGTAGGTACGAGAACCATATACGATATTACTTATAGAGTGATTACAAAAATTAAAAGTGTAGGTACGAGAACCAGATTTTTGGGAATTACTTTTTACCTGTATGTGTTATTTACTTGTACGTGACATTGGTACCTGTGCTTATTTACCTGTAAACTATATGAAAAGTTATTGATTTACCTTGATATGTGGGTAATAACTATAGTAGAGATACCAGTTATTTTCTTTGATGTCCGGCTGGTTCATGTGATCTTCTGGCCCTAAAGGAAAGAATCTTTCCTTTCCTTCGGAGTCCCTGGTATCTCCCGCTTTAACTCCTGCCAACTCCAGACACAGCCCAAGCTGGACATCCTCGCCGTTATTTTGATTTGCGCATGTAGAGTTCAAATAATTAGAAGAATTTCCAAATTCTACATGATATCTAACAGCCTGTCGGCTAAGGACATAACCAGCCCCTCCACTCATAAAGCCTTGTTTTACATGAGGTTTAAACCTCCGTCCGTAATAGATGGCTTCGTTCCTATCTTTATCGCGGAGAAAATGGCGTAAGTTTTCAACGATGACGTAGGTGTCATCATCTGCTTTCAAGAACCAATCATAATCGTTTAGGTAAGAAGAGTATATATGCAGTAATGCTTCTTTTGTTTTTTTCCATAAATTTTGTCGACCTTCTTTAACCGGAAGTTCAACAACTGGGAGATGCTTCGCTCGTTCTTGTGTTCCATTAGAGCTCACGAATAACAGTTTGTCACAACGTTTACCCCACGTGTTTTGTACGTGTGTTGCCTTGGATACGACTGTGATTGGTGATGTCATTATCCAGCAAAGTAGCCGTCCTCCTGATGACAAAAAGAGGGTTAAATTTGATGATAGTATAAAATCAGTGATCGAATGATGCGTATCAATCTGGAAAATATCACGTGATCTTTTAATTAACGTAAAAACAGAGACAAACGGAAAGGGTCGCAGGTGATCAGTCAATTTACTTTGTTTAGAACCATTTTATTTTCCCGCAAAATACGAACAAAAGAAATATTTTCATGGAGATTCCTAAAAGAGTACAAGGAGAATAAAACCAGGTGCTCCGGAAGTGTAAACGTCTTCTGCTTCACCGACGACACTTGCAATTTCAACCTTTGTCAATCTAAGTATGTAATGTTTTCAAAAAACTCATAAGCTTTCTCCAACTTTAAATTGAAATAAAACTCACTGCTTAAAAATCTATTTTGAAATTTGATTCCATATAACTTGATATATTTACGTTACTTCTTAAAACCAGGAGTATACCTATTCAAATGCAATACCTGGCTGGTGCTGTGCAGACATGCAACAAATTACGACAGTAAAGATATGTTATCTGATTATTTAAAAATGTCTCAAGATAATCAGAAATTCGTAACAGCTAGCAATCTCACTTTTTTGTCTGAATTAAAATAACACATTTTAAAAATTTATAGTTAGATACAACAGAGCCAAACAAAGAGGTACACTGTATCATACAGCTGTTTCGTCCTTCGTGAACTCGTCAGTGATGGTAAGGGCCTACATTTCTACGCTTAAATGTCAAAATCACATTGACGGGGAGGTAAAACAGCTCCATAATTTAATAAAGATAATAATTTTACAACAGCGTCAAGTACATGGGTATATTCTGAACCTTGCACTATTCGAATGAATAGAAACATGGCAGGCAGGGTACATAGGGGACTTAAATTCAGTATCTAATTGGTATAATACAATAAAACACTGTTGGTTTTTAAAGCTTTAACTCTGATCTGCAGTTAGACAAGAGAAAATTTGTTTTTCGGCAGCAATCCTAAGTTTATTACTCTCGGTTTTACTATAAATAAAGCAAATTTATTTGTTATCCCAAAGTCAAATCGGTATTTGTTATGCAAGATTTTCGGTTTTGACTGTATAAGTAAATAAAGATACGAGCATCCACTGGGTACCGACAAAATACATTTGGACCAAAACGACCAAATTTCATTAACTTTGGTTTTGTCTGTTAAGGGTTTATTCAACAGAATTATGTTTTAATCAAACCAAAATAACAAAACATACATCACTGTCTTCAAACTATAGAAAAAAGGGATAATTTTAGTGTAATTTGCCTTACGGGTCGACAGTATTTATAGGACGAGTAATTCCGATTCGGTAATGTGTTGCATTTGAATTCCGTAAAGTCCAGAGCTGACTAGATAAAACAAGGAAATCTGTACAGCGCAGGTTTTGAATAATTAGATATTCCAGTTTTGGTATAAATAAGGTTGATACATTGCCACTGTGGATTTGTTTCCTAAACACACATTTTACTGATAGAACGGAGTACATCACTGTCAAAATGAAGAGATTTAGATCCGTTGTTGAGGAACTGCCTTTCAATTCGATGATTTTTTTCCGTCTTATAGTTCAACCACAGGGTTTCACAATGTTAGTTTTGTTGGATGTAGTGATTGATCACCGTTTCTTTGGTTCTGTTGACCTGATTAGACAAGTAGCGTAGTAATGTTTGGCATCTATTTAAGTGATGCATTGAAATGATCCATGATTTATATACACTGCAAACATATCGTTAGATTTTGGCAAAAATTCTTGGCTGCGACCATGTTATTTTCAGTATACACTATACGATAAAGGCATTGATAATAGAGTGTACAATGCACCTTAAAAATATGTCGTTTACTTAGACCACGTGCGTCATTTCTCAATAAAAGAGGAAAACCACGATTTCTTATTTACATGTAGAAAAGTCGAATGGACTTTAAAATTATTTAATTTTGTTAATTTGTTTATGTCTTTCCCCGCTACGTCATTCGGTTTAGATAAGTTTGCATTGATTTAGCATTAATGTGTATGTGTAAATTTTTTTCATCGCGAAGGAAAATTATTGGAAATATCACTGTTTTTAATCTTTAATATATTTGTAGACTGATGAATCGACGAAACACAACAAAGAAAAAAGCTGTACTGTTCAATTAAGTTTACTTTGTCATGTTGGATCTTCACTTCAAATTGATAAGTGGATTATTACAACAGCAACGTTTTGGCAAGTCATCCAGCCCACCAAGGACTGCGAAGACCTCGACGGTGTACACAAATGTAAAACTATATCACGAATATTTAACATTTTACAGTGTGTAAAAATTTAAAAGAACCCGTACTTGTCGCGTCAAACACATAACTTATCAACAGGTCAACTGATAATATTCCTCACAAATTAGTTGTCTTGCGTTAATTTCATCGAAACATAAAACTGCCATTCGCATTGTGAAAGGGATGTTGTCTGTGAAATGACCCTGTCATATGCATTTTAACTTTTTGCTTTTTATTACATATAGACAATATCACTTCCTGTTATTATCAAACACAAGAACTTGACAATTTGTACAAGTTGTTCTTTTTGTTTTGTTTTTGTTTTTGGAAAGTCAAAAAAACCTGTTATTGTGCATTTTAAAATTAATGTTATTATTGGGACTACTACATTGAGACGTACGCACGCTGCCACATACGAGGCAATCGGTCACTTGTAAATGAGTTAATGACTGAAGTTTCTTTACAGCGGTGAATTATATCACTGAGACCTTAATGACATCTGTTATCAAAGTCAAAAGACGTATAAGGCGACCTACCTGACATTGGAGTCGACATGGCAATGGTTTGGGAACGATTTGGTGACACGTGTACTGGTGCCGATATCACATGCCTATCTGTTTTTTCTATGATGATGGACTTGGGAAGGTACATAAAATAGAGTCCGACGACAATGATACTGGTCAGTGATAATATTGATTTTCGAAGTCTGATCACTCTATTCATGCTCACCACTTAACTCGCGTCCACGCAACTCGATAGCGATGTAGCGTCAATGAATCAAGACTACTGAGATGTACTCTGACGTCATCAGGTTTGGGGTTGATAAGTCAAAGTAAGGCTGATCACTCTTCTCTTATTTGCTGACGTTGTGGGTTTGAATAAGATCAATGAAAGGTGGGGAATATGCCATACTGTAACAGTCAAGGAAAAGGTTCTCCAATACTGATTCACACGACAGTGTAATGATACCAAAAGCTTCTTCGATATCAATTTCATCGTCAAGATACTTGATACACATCACTAAACTGAAACTGACTGGTTATTTTTTTCCACTGATGTAGTGACATAGTTCGAAATACTTCGGACTACCCTTCACTGGACGGATGTGTCCTTCCCATTTGCCATTAGTAGAGGTCAGTCCACAATAACTATTCATCGGCAGCAAAGCAACTATTTGGGATACTGTATTAAACATTCAACAATGGATCTAACGACTTGCCCATTAAAATGCTGGTACAATGTATGTTCATGTATTTGTATACAATATTATTGTAACTTTTACTATTGAAGAAAATATACAGATTGTTAACACGTGGATTATTCATAGACTTATGAAACTTCAAACTAGGAAAAATGAAATTGACTTTTAGATTATCGAATGGAATGAAATCCGATATTATAAACTTAACTTTTATGAAACTTCAAACTTTGAAAGACTACTATTGGAGGAAGTACAGATTGTGTAATAATTGATTATTCATTAAAACTTTGTTGTTTAAAAACATATAGACTTCAACCATATTGCACAAACTAACTTTTTCTATGAATAATGATGGTCATTAAGATATGTAAAGTTGTTATTACTGAAACGATAAGGTGCAAATTTAAAGGTTACACTTTTACAGCCACAAAAATTATCTAGGTCCGTCTTGTAATTATAAATAATAATGTACTCGTTTGTTTTGAAGGCATTACTAAATCTACTTACTTAATGTACCACAACGGTTTGGTACAAACATATCAATATCCATCACCAGAACCACATAAGATACTGTGGGAGGAGGAAGTTCTTATCCAACCAACAGGAATAAATCATGCTTGTAAACAAACTTAATTCGTCTAATACCGCTAGAAGTGTACAGATGCCGAAGGCGAAGACGGTTCTAAAAGTCAAAACACCAGAAAGTTTGTTCGACGGAAGAAATCGACAGGGTGTAAGGGAACGAATCGATAATTTACATAAATGTGGTTAATGTTTCCGCTTCTTGTATATATAGCTATCAAACACATAACTCTGGTGATGGAGTGGCGACTTGTACATTGGTGATGTTTTTATTTCAGCCAGTCTACTACCATGTTGTATTCTCTAAAAAAAATCTAGCGCAATTTTACATTACCACTTGCGATTTTCAAGCGTATTTGAGTGGCTGTAAATTAGGGAATAGTTGAACGATGAAATTAAAATGGTGGAATTTTTTGCCAACAAAATAAAGCTGAACCACAACGAAATGAAGGGAAATGGTGATATTAATGTTCATCTAGCTTCTCAAAGTAGGTGAATCAGTCTTGGGTTGGAGGAGATGGAAAATATTCTTGTTAAATTATATCTAGGATTTATAATCTTAATTTATGAATAATATGTACTCAGTTCGTTATGTATTAAAGTGTATTCTTTTCTTTTACAGAATGATTCCTCAACCACCCATACCAACAATACATTCTAATATCTCGTCTTTGTCAAGAGTTTCAAAAATTAATAAAACAATATGTGAACAGCTCTTACAAAATATATCTGGTTTATTCATATCAAGATGTTTTTTTAAACTCTTTCTGAGTGATTATTAATTGTTTACATTTTAGGTAATTAAATCCTATAAATCAATAAGATATGTATACAATATATCAACGGTTAACAGATGCCAATGTGTGTATGTTGTTATTTAGTAGTGACCAAAGACCAACGTATCAGTCCATTAGGAGCGCTTATCACCAAAAGTCGACAGTCTCAAGTTGTTGATTTTTTTCAAAAAGCAACTGATGTTTATCTCATTTAATTGATTTTTTCCTATCTCAAAATGCAAAAACTGTCTTTATTATGTTGTTATATTGAATAAAATATTGTTTAAACTAACTGAATTCATTTCAGGTACATTTCGTGCCATTTGTCTTTTTCCGTTTGTTGTTGTCATTGTAACCGTACAATTCTCAATAGTGAACCTTTCTTAAATGCTTATTACATAAGCACTGCCCTTTAAATTCTGATCGGTATGACCTTCGTGTAATGTTTTCAAAATCTCTTAACTATACAGGTAGATTTCTTCACCAGAAGCTCTGGCTTTTAAAGAATAGTCAGACTGTACATCGTATAGTTATTGCGGATATACAAAATCTGCCTCTAATACATGCCCAAGCCTTCCATTTTTGAAATAATGCTAATTATTCGATATTGTCAACCTTGTGAAAATCTTCCATAGATATGGATTATTACAATTAATAAACAAATATACTTCTTCGGTTTTGATTGATCATGCGTTTAAAGAATATATAGATTGTTGGCTTTTGATTAATTTGGATGCCATACATATACCATCGCGATTGCCTCCCTTAAAGAATACATACATGTATAGAAGATCGACAAGTAAGTCTAACTAGACACTTGTACACTTGTAGTTTCCAGTGCGGCAGTCCATACTAGACGATGATCAGTACAAAAATGACATTGGTCCAATCCATAATAAGTCAAACATACATTACAAAATCAAAAGATTTTCCTCGTGTACAATTTTCGTGATTTAAAAAAAATCTTATTTTGCAGATGCTTTTAATTCTTACAGTTTGTAGACATACGAATTCGTGGAAGAAGAGAACCGATGAAATCAACGAAAATAAAAATCACACGAAAAATAATTATTTTACAGTTACATCTGTAAGGAATGACAAATCTGTTTTTTCCCTATTCGTGTCGCCTATTAGAAAATCAGGCACCTGATAAACATCACAATATGATTGCATATTTTTTTTCTAAATCACTATCGATGTCCATTACATAAATGTATTCCATTTCCTGGCTATTTATTGACCGTTCGGAGTAACCGTTGTCACCTTGTAACACCGCTGTCTGTATTTTCATAAGTTACGTACCTTTTTGGGTTTGGCTGATTTGGAATCAAATTTATAACGTCTACGGCATCATCTCCATGCACAATACACGAGAGATGTGAAATCTACATCCTGCCATATTCACTCTATTGGTGTCCTCTTGTTTGTGGTAACACATTTCTCCTAACCGTCTGAAGCAACCTTTCAGATGATACATTGTTCGCTCAATGGTTTGACGACATGAAGAGAAAAAAGCCTGTTGATTTTGTTACTGTCTTGACAAGTACCTATCGTCTCTAAACGGAGTGATTAACCAGGTTTTAATAGGATATGTTGAATCTCAGAAAAAAATACTATTTGGTGAAATAAATTTCTCATTATCCCGGCATCATGTTTACTCCAAAACCAACCATTTTAAACACTTCTGATCAACAACGTTTTATCGACAGCTATCTGTCTGTATCCAAAGTCGAAAATAAACATTAAAAGTACAATGTAAAATAAGATGAAAAATGTTGGGAAAAATGTTTGACTATCGGATAAACATGAATATGTCAATTTATCAAAGTTTCAAGCAAATGGAGACGATAAAAGAAGGAAGGTTAAAGAAGCCAGGTTTGTCGAATTGATAATGTACTTCATGTAGTATGCAAACTCACTTTTTAATTCCATGCAGAATGTATATTGTTTTTTTGTAATTTTTTATTTTTCAAAGATTTTTTATACATACACAAATCAACCACCGTACACACATTCACACATGTGGAATCATCATCATCATCATCATCATCATCATCATCATCATCATCATCCATACATCATCATTCATACATGTACATACATCATCATCATCATCATCATCATCATCATCATCATCATCATCATCATCATCATCATCGTCGTCGTCGTCGTCGTCCATGCATGCAAATACATCATCATCATCATCATCATCATCATCCATACATTATATAGATGCACCTACTTTATCATTCATATATATACATTATACGTGTATATTATCATCATCATACATACATGTATCATCATCACCATCATCATCATCATATAGATACACATACATGAAGTTCCTCGTTAAACATGTATTACATCATCATCATCATCATCATCATCATCATCATCATCATCATCATCATCATCATCATCATCATCATCATCATCATCATGTGTCATTCATTGTGACTATGCATACATCATTACACATCATCATCATCAGTGTCATTCATTGTGACTATGCATACATCATTACACATCATCATCATCATCATTCTCATACATATCATCAAAATCATCATCATAATGTTCTCATCATTGTTTCTAATATACAAAATGTACCTGTATACATTATCATCATACACCATCAGTATAATTCATACTGTACATATAGAAAAACATATCATCATCCACATATATCTACCACACACACTCGCACCAAAGAAGAAAGACAGAAATGAACATGAGAGAGAGAGAGAGAGAGAGAGAGAGAGAGAGAGAGAGAGAGAGAGAGAGAGAGAGAGAGAGAGAGAGAGAGGCACATGATATTTCAGTTTTGCACAAATGCAAATAGCATTAGGTAGACAGCGAGTGCAGGTAATGTCAAGGTCTTGGCAAAAAGTTATAAAGCATAAACATATACAAATATCAAATCTTATTAATACATCCCAACAGCACAACTATAGTTATGTCAACATTAACAAAAATGTGAGGAATTTTTATTAAAACAAACTGATATTAAAATTCTAGAATAGGTTTCCATTTTCTCCAGTCAATCGCAAACTGTTGTTTAGTGTGTTCAGTTTTGTTAATATTTTTGTGTTAGGTGATGATCCTTAATAGTGTTGATTAGTGTATGAAGGCATAGAGAGTTGCTAAGACATCGAGTTTTA